TTCTCTATGTCATTCTAAAACAGGGTATTAGGTAGCCTAGGCTAGCCTCAAACTGGTTAGGTAGCTGGGTTTTGAGTACTTGAGTTTTTTGTTGTTTTGTTTTGTTTGTTTTGTCTTATCTTCATGGTTCTACTTCCTAAGTGCTGGGACTGTGGGTTTGTGGCAGTATGCCCGTTTTATGCAGCTCTAGGATCAAACCCAGGGCTTTGTGTGGGTGAACACTCCACCCACCGGATTCTCCTTCCTTAACCTTCCAATACCCACTCTTTCCCTGTGATGCTCTGAAGCCTTCTCCTCTCTGCATGGACATAAGGACTGGCTGAAGAAAATAAAGATGTTTTCCCAGAAGCCCACATCCAGATGGTTTTTGAGGAGGAGAACCCCTACAGAGCTGGAAGATTCTTGCTCCTGTCTCACCATACCCTCTTGTGCCCTAGAAAAAGCTCCCCACACTCCTGAACCCTGGATGATGGAGCTGCTACCTCCTCTGCCCTCAGGGCTGGCCCAGAGTAAGCCTGTTTCTCTACCACTTCTGTCTTGCTGGTTTTGTGTACAGCTGAAACACTCCCTGAGGATTCCCGTATGTTAGGAATACATTCAGTTCTGTTAGACCTAAGCTGTGTGACCTAGAGGAAGTGACTGAGCCTCTCTGAGTCTCAGTCTTCCACATAGAAAATGAGAACAAAATTCTCATCTCATCGGATAGTTATAGTGAGTCTAAAATAAATCATCATTATCTCCATTACAAAACCTTCTCAGCCTTCTGGCAAGGGCAGCAAAATAATTCACAGCTCTTAAGATCCACCCAGCATAAAACTGAAGCACTCAGCCAGGATTATTTACAAAGCAAGGTTTAAAAACAAACAGACACTCCATAGTAAAGCCTTTTTTTTTTTTTTAAACTCACCATCCCTGTGAGCTGTACAGGATAAAGGACCACGGAGATAACTCAGCAGTAGAGGGCGTATCTAGCATGTGTGAGGCCCTGGGTTCAACCCCCAGGGCCAATAAAGAAATAAAGAACACCAAAGACATAATAAGTCTACCATGGAGTTGCACAACACCCACCTCCACACCAAGGCCAGTGCTATCATCGTTAAGTTCAAATAAACATCCATGATGGCCAAGCTGGCAGTCGGTTTGTCCAAGCTTTCCCAAACACTGCTAACCATTCAATACCAGAATGCAGATCTGGACCCTCGTTTGGAGAGTCAGGGTCTAGTTTCGGGTGGGAGTGCTGTGTCCTGACACCACATCGGCATGTTAGGCTGGGCCTTCCCCTTGTGCCTTGGCACACAAGAAGCCCCTAGCTGAGGAGATTGGCTCGACACCTGGAATTACCTCACAGCACACAGAGCTAGAGAGAAGCTCACTTTAAAGATGCTAAACTGCTTCCCCCTCCCCCACAAAAAAAAAGACATAATACGAGAAGGCCTTCATGACAGGGCAATATTTGGGGCCCTTACTCTCTTTTTCTTTGTCAGCTCATGCTTCTGAGTCCAGGGCATCTCAGGCTTTGGTGGTGCATACAGACATGAACCAAATAAACTTCTAGTTTAGAATTTTACAGAGAGCACGGCTCACACGTCCATGCAAGAGGGAATACTGAATTTATTAGTGGGTACTTTAAGGATAAGTGATCATTCTTGCTCATCCTTTGCAATTTCCAAAGAAGAAAGCATAATAAAAAGTGCTTGTCAGAGAACTTCAAGTCTCTGAAGAAAGAAATTGAAGAAGATCTCAGAAGATGGAAAGATCTCCCATGCTCATGGATTGGCAGGATTAATATAATAAAAATGGCCATCTTGCCAAAAGCAATCTACAGATTCAATGCAATCCCCATTAAAATCCCAACTCAATTCTTCACAGAGTTAGAAAAGGAAATTCTCAAATTCATATGGAATAACAAAAAACCCAGGATAGCGAAAACTATTCTCAACAATAAAAGAACTTCTGGAGGAATTACCATCCCTGACCTCAAGCTGTACTACAGAGCAATAGTGATAAAAACTACCTGGTATTGGTACAGAGACAGGCAGGAAGATCAATGGAATAGAATTGAAGACCCAGAAATGAACCCACACTCCTATGGTCACTTGATCTTTGACAAAGGAGCTAAAACTGTCCAGTGGAAAAAGGACAGCATTTTCAACAAATGGTGCTGGTTCAACTGGAAGACAACATGTAGAAGAATGAAAATTGATCCATTCTTATCCCCTTGTACAAAGCTCAAGTCTATGTGGATAAAGGACCTCCACATAAAACCAGATACACTAAAACTAATAGAAGAGAAGGTGGGGAAAAGCCTCGAATACTTGGGCACAGGGGAAAAGTTCCTGAACAGAACTCCAATGGCATATGCTCTAAGATCGAGAATTGACAAATGGGACTTCATAAAATTGCAAAGTTTCTGTAAGGCAAAGGACACTGTCAATAGGACAAAACGACAACCAACAAATTGGGAAAAGATCTTTACCAATCCTTCATCTGATAGAGGGCTAATATCCAATATATACAAAGAACTCAAGAAATTAGACTCCAGACAACCAAATTACCCTATTAAAAAATGGGGTATAGAGCTTAACAAAGAATTTTCAATGGAAGAAACTCGAATGGCCGAGAAGCATCTAAAGAAATGTTCAGCATCCTTAGTCGTCAGGGAAATGCAAATCAAAACAACCCTGAGATTCCATCTCACACCAGTCAGAATGGCTAAGATTAAAAACTCAGGTGATAGTAGATGCTGGCGAGGGTGTGGAGAAAGAGGAACACTCCTCCATTGTTGGTGGGACTGCAAGATGGTGCAACCACTTTGGAAATCAGTCTGGCGGTTCCTCAGAAAATTGGACATAGCATTACCCGAGGATCCAGCTATACCACTCCTAGGCATATACCCAGAAGGTGCTCGAACATATAATAAGGACATATGCTCAACTATGTTCATAGCAGCCTTATTTATAATAGCCAGGAGCTGGAAAGAACCCAGATGTCCTTCAACTGAGGAATGGATTAAAAAAATGTGGTATATTTACACAATGGAGTATTACTCAGCTATTAAAAACAATGAATTCGAGAGGTTCCTAGGTAAATGGATGGAACTAGAAATTATCATCCTGAGTGAGGTAAGCCAATCACAAAAGAAGACACATGGTATTCACTCACTGATTATTGGATATTAGCCTAGAACCTTGAAATGCCCAAGATGCAACTCACAGGCCACATGAAGGCCATAAAGAAGGAAGACCAAGTGAGGGTGATTCGGTCCTTCTTAGAAGGAGCAACAAAGTACTCAAGGGAGCAAATATGGAGACAAAGTGAGGGACAGAAACTGAAGGAGGGGCCGTCTCAAGACCACCCCACCTGAGTATCTATCCCATGTGCAATCACCAAAGGTAGATGCTGATGTGGAAGACAGGAAGTGCATGCTGATAAGAGCCTGATATGGATATCTCCTCAGAGGCCTTCAAGAGTCAGACATATTCAGAGGCAGATGCTCACAACTAGCCATTGAACTGATCATGGGGTTCTCAATAGAGGAGTTAGAGTGAAGACTGAAGGAGCTGAAAGGGTTTGTGGCACCATGAGGAGAGCAACAATACCAACCAACCACAGCTCCCAGGGTCTAAACCACCAGCCTGGGAGCACTTAGGGGGGGATCCAGGGCTTCAGCTGAATATGTAAAAGTGGAGGGCCCTGCTGGGCATAGGTGGAAGAAGAGAACCTTGACCTCATGAAGGCTGGATGCCCCAGGGGGTGGGAATTTTGAGGGTGGGGAGGTGGGAGTGGGGGGGTGTAGATAGAGGTTACATCCACAGAGAAGAAGGAGGAGGGTCGAGGGGATTGGGGGTTCCGAGGGGGTGGTGGGGGATGGGGTAAGGGGACAACATAGGAAATGTAAATAAATCATCCAATAAAAAAAAATTTCTTAACCTTTAAAAAAAAAAAAAAAAAAAAGTGCTTGTCAGATTAAACCAGCCTAAGCATTTCACAATGCAGGGCTGTGAAGATGTGCAGTGAGTAAGAATACACACTGCTTTTGCAGAGGACCCAAGTCTAATTCCCAGCACCCATATTGGCAGGTTGGCCTGTTTCTCCAGCTCCAGGGGATCTGACACCTCTGGCCTCCACAGGCACCAGCGTTCACATGCACATACTCACCCGAAGACACACAGGCACACATGTAGTTTCTTTTTAAAGTTTCATTAAGGAAGTACACATTATTACGTCACAATGATCCTTTGCATCCTATCATAAAAACCTTTCTCCCCAGATCACCTCAATAACGAAGAGACATGGAAGCAGGCTTCTGATGAGCTCAGTGAGACAGAGCAGGCCTGCCTGTGTACCTCCTGGAAGTTAGGGGTTTGAGTTCATTGCTGAACCGTGCCTATTCCAACTTCAGCCTGTCTCACCCTGTGAGGCTCACACTCAATCTTGTTAATTAAACCATTCCAATTAATTAAACAATGCATTTTCATAATTCTAAATATTGTCTACAGAGTAAAATAAAACAAAATAAAATAGAACAAAAAGGTATATGTGATTGTTTGAGCCTGCAGATTTAGGCTATCCCCCAGGAGGCCGTGAGCAATAGATGCAGGGGTCACTGCTAGGGAGGACTGTCTGTTACATCAGTCAATCTACTCTCCCTGTTATAGCGCCTTCTCGAACAATTCACACCAAACACTGGGCTAAAAGGTAGTAGCTGGTTAGAGTCCAAGACACATCCCCCTTCTGCTCAAAAATATTTACTACACTCTTCGCTCAGTAACACAAAAGTAGGCATTGACATGGCAGCCTCACTGGAAACTGCCCTACGGGATCTGAGTGCTCTCTTGAACCCACCAGAATGGGTTAGATTGGAGGCTAACTGACAGAGAAAGAGAACTATTCAAACTGATTTTGTAGATCAGACCAGCCCTGGGACTCCCCTCCAGAAAAACCACAGTCTTCATCCCTGAAAGCCTGTGGCTGGTTTCCACAGAGGGGCAGGCCTTTACCTTCTTGTACGCAGACAGCTTTGTCACTTGGGATCCAGCCTAGGGTTCCATTAATATATTTCATACACAGTCTCTTTGAAGAGCCCTTCAGCCTGAATCCGTCTTGGCAGTGAAATCGAGTTACTGAGTTCTCGAAGAAAACTCCTTCACTGGGAGTCCTGAAGCCATTCTCAGGGACGCCTGGGTCGGCACACACGTTGGGGTCATCGAGTCCTACATGGAGAGAGAGGGAGAGAGAGAGAGAGAGAGAGAGAGAGAGAGAGAGAGAGAGAGAGAGAGACTTGAATACTTCTCCAGGATCCGTATTCCTACCCCATCAGCCACTCCAACCTTATAGACAAAATTAACCTACCTAAACATGTTAACTTGCATCCCATTGATTAGGAGAGGCCAGGATAAGGAAAGAGTGGCTCCTCTCTGCTAAGGGTCCAAATCTGCCCTCAAAGGGAAGGCGTGGAAATGTCCAAGCCCTGCACAGACATCTGTTTTTCCTATAAACTATGAAAAGCTGACCCACAAATCCTCACTGAGCAGGTATCAGGAACCAATGCACATACCTCCATGGAGATGGGTTGGTGTGCCCACCTTTTATTCCCAGTACAGCCTACTGGTACCAGCACTGTTCTCTGATTCAGAACGCAGTGCACACACAGTATTGGATCTTCTACTGCTGCCTGCTGCTGAATTTGTGAGGTACCTACTCCTCTGTAACAGCCTGGATTGCTAAAGGTCCTCAGCTGTCAGTGACACCCCTCACCCCATATGCTGAGTGAGAATCACACTCCTCCCCCTGCTGGTCTTCAGGGTCACTGAAAGCTAAAAGCAGCGCAGTATGAGAGGCACAGTAGTGGCAGCTCCCCCTCTGTGCAGAGGTGAGGAGGTGGAGGGAGGAAACAGTTAAAAAGGAAGACTGTAGTGGGACAGCACCTGCACTTCTACTCCTTAAGTACCAACAATCTGATATTGCATTGAAGCAACAAGATACCATCCAGTGGTCACATGATCACTTCAAATTTGTCATTTAGGGAAAGTTCCTTGGATCATCAGGTGCCCCCAGGTAAGGGATGTCATGGCTGCCTTCAGTCTGGAAGACTGCATATTCTCACAGAAGAAACGGTCATTATCTTTGTCAGATGGAGTCAGTTGCTCTCTAATTGTATCAGAATGGGGTACATGTGTTTCAGTGGGGGCCACAGAAGGGCAGAAGAAATGTACTATCCCAGAGGTTAGGGAAGTCTCTGGAAGGCCTCTAGTAGAGTCCTTAGGCGAGCAGGCACACTAGCCAGAAAGGAAGGTACAGGGTCAAGAATATCCATGGATGAAGACAGAGGACCCTGGGACCACTTCCCAGACATCATGAGGGACAACATGGAACTTGTCTGCTGATGCAGAATAGCAGTAAGCATGGACTTCTCTGGAGACTCAGTGTGAATAGAACAGAGGAGATAGCTACCTGTGAGAGACGGTCAAGGAAGAGATTTTATTAAAATGTTAAGATAAACCCAGATTTAATGGCTCAAGCCCATGACCCCAACACTCTCTGGGTTAAGCAGGGGTTACTATAAGTTTGAGGCCAGCCTGAGTTACATGGGGAGTTCCAGATCAACCTGGTATACACAGTAAGAGTTGCCCTTACTAAAATTTATTTTTAAACAGCAGAGATCTAGGAATCTTCACACAACAAGGAAAACAGTGGAGAACAGAAAGCTGTAGCTGAGGATAGCTGAGGGGGACTCTTCAGTAAGTGCCTGCTACGTGGATATGGGCAGGGAGGACACCTAAACCCAGAGGTGCAGGGAAATGCTTATCTTTCCCTGAAACAGCAGGAAGTCTTACCACACCTTTGAATGAGGGACGAATGTTTCCCATAATGCAAGCCTCCTTGGAATACACACAGGAGGCTTCTCTTCCCATCAAGGTAGCCTGGGCTCACCCCTCAAGGCTTTCCTCACTGTGAGCAGGACTGCTGGTCTATTTATCTGTATCCTTGTCTGTGCAAACCTAAGCAAAAGATTCAACTATCCTCATGTCCTTGGCACCCAGCTGTATGCATGAGCTGTATGCAGTGACCATTCCCACAAGCACCATTAGTGAATGATGATTGGCTGGGTGGGTATCCAAATGGATGGTTACATGGGTAGTAGGGAGCAAATGGATGGATGGATACATGAACAAGTAGGTGGATAGATAGGTCAATAAATGGATGAGTAGGTAGATGTGTGAATGGATGGATGGATGGATGGATGGATGGATGGAGGGAGGGAGGGAGGGAGGGAGATATGAAATTTGTGAGTAGATGGATGGGTTGATAGGTGTATAGATGAATAAACATAAGAGAGTATGGATAGATGGGTAGATGGATGAACGGATAGATGGGTAAAGGGTGTGGTTGCATGAACAAATGGATTAAACTGCATGCTAACTATTCTGCTTGACCCGTAAGACAGCCACCTCTCCTCAATCAGAGTACCATGAGTGGCTGGAAGCTCTTGCATGTCACACCCAGAGAAGGAGATATGAAATGCTTTCCTGCAGTGTATTCTCTCTCCCTTTCTTGTGGATGAGGATCCTTACTCTTCTTTCTTTCATTTTGTCCCTTGTATTTTTTTCTCTTTTTCTTTTTTGAAAACAGAATCTCACCATGTCGCTCTGGCTGGCCTGTAACTTGCTATGTAGACCAGGCTGACCTTAAACTCAGAGATTTGCCTGTTTCTGCCCACTGAGTGCTGGGATTAAAGGTGTGCAACCATCATACCCAGCTCCTTAGTTTTCTACAATCTCAATGTCTTAACCTTCTTCCTTAATACAGGGACAGGGCAGGTCTATGCTGTGCCTTGCCTTGGGCATCTGTGCTCCCCTAACACATGGTTTCTAGCCAGTCACCCCTGCTACCAAACAACAGCACTGCCGACTTTGGAGTACCTCCAGCTGGCCACACCTTGTCCTTGGCCACAAAGCTGATTTCTTTCAAAGAGGGAGACAAGATTCAAGGGAGGGCTAAAGACCCATCAGAAAAAAATGATGTAATCCATCAGGAAAATCACTGTGCCAATAAAAAAATGATGAGAGTTCATGAAAATTACAATGGGAGAGCAAGGAAGCTCCTCGAAGCTGAGTCTTTGTGTATTCCCTCTCCTTGAAGCACGACCCCACCAGCTCTCTGCTTCCATGGAATCACAGCTAACATGGCTGTGCTCCTAAGCCTGATGCAGGGCTGATGATCTGGAGTACTGCTGGCCACAGATCCAGCCACTGGCACAGGACGGATGAACAGAAAAGAGCCATTGGAAGGCAGGATGGTGTAAGGAAAAAAAATATTCTTTATTTGGACAACTAATCCCATTGAGCAAGATAGTAATTTTCTAGGCCTGCTAGATCTTAGAGCCTTTTGTTTCAAATTATCCCTTGGTGGATCAATTCCCAGCCGGGGCCATTTTTCTACAGAGCCCTCTCTTAGTGTCCTTCCATAATGATGATGATGACATCATGGTGAGAGATGGCTGTCTTACGGGTCAAGCAGAATAGCTGGCATGCAGTTTCCTCCATTTGTTCATACAACCACACCCTTCTGATAACAGACCCATTAAGGAGTGGGCTGACGTAGGTATTTGGAGGTGTGGAGAATAACTCTTGTGCATGTCCACACAAATCATCTCTCAAGAATTTGCTTTCTTAAAACCCCAACATAGTTCCCTCCCATCGTTCAAATTCTGTTTATGCTTTGGAACTGAGTGATCATGGCCTGGAGGGCAGAGTCAGTTCCCAGAATGATTTCTGACGTGTTTGCTCTTGAGAGGAGTTGGGGGGGGGGGGAGGAGTGCTTCAGTTCAAACACTCCTCAGCAGCAGCAGCAGCCTCTCCTGGCCATTCCTACTGCAGTCATTCAAGAGTAGTGTGTGTGTGTGTGTGTGTGTGTGTGTATGTGTGTGTGTGTAAGACACACTTGGGTGTGACCTAGACTGGGATATAGGCACCCAGATATTCGTCCTATTTTATGGGGATTGTTATGCTCTTTCTTCTGGGTGAGATCAACCTGAGACTCTGAAGACCAAGCAGAATGGCTTGCCTGCTGCTCAGTGTAGGTTGGCCTCGTTCCGTGTTGTAGGCCTGGACAGAGAAACGAGGTATAGGAAAGCGTTTGCTCTCCCTAGCTGCTAGTCTTCAAGCTGGAATACCTATCCTCTGCTTTTGGATCAGGACTTGCTCCAATGACTTTCCTGGGTCTCTAGGAGATACAGATGATGGATGTGTGGGTGGATGGAGGGTTCAGGGGGAAGGATTGATGGGTGGGTGAATGGACGTATACGTTAATGCTTTCTATTAGTTCTGTTTTCCAGCAGAACTCAGATGCATACAGGCTTCTAAGTGTTTAGGTACTTCCAACACGTGAGAACAGGGATGCTGACCACTGCCTGCTTCCAGGGGCTACTTCTCTCAAGATCTTTGAGTTCAGATATACAGTTGATTCACTGAATGGGTTAGTGCATGAACCCTGGGGTCTGGACAACCCAGCGGGACAGCCTTAGCCTGCAATCCCTCTGATACCTACAGAACTGGCTGCTCTGAGCCTGCACCCACGCCCTCTTTGGTATCAGTGTCCTCATCTCTGGTGCTGATGAGCACAGATCAAGTCAAAGACACAGTTCTAATTTAGTCTCTGGCTCCAGTGGATGCCAAGATTCCTTAGTTTTCTTTTCTTTGAACCCAAATCTACATGAATAATGGGGACTGGGAACACCCTTATCTTCTCACACAAAGAAATGCATCAGATGCTCCATCTGATGATGGGGTCTTGACACTTCTGGCTTGGTCACTTCTGAAACTGCAGAAACCTAGTCGACATTTCTACTGTGAACAACATAAGAAGTCTTTGAAAAGGATCATAAAAACGAAAGAGGTGTGAAAAAGCAATCTTTTGGGCTATTACAGCCGAACAGTCATATTCTGGAAAGGAAGAGTGTATCAAACGTAGCCAAATCAATTTAGAGCCAGGGCTGGGTTTCCATTTCTTTGTAAACTGCTCTATGGGTCTATAGGGGAAGAAACAGGATATAGACACAAAAATTGATTTTGTATGCATTTCTTTACTGAGAGGGTATTGGGTAAATGAGAGGGAGCCATCCCTGCAAACGTTAAACAGATAACTAAGAGCTATTCCCAAGCCTTGCTCACATCAGAAGCACTTACTGTAGACTCAGTTAACCTTCAAATCA